TGAGGTTGCTGCTATGGATCAGGAGATAGCGAAAGTCATGAACAAGAAACCGACGGTTAAGCCAACACCGAAACCAGGGGATGTGAATAAAATGAAGATGGGCCAAATAGATTCAACACATCTTACTGTGATGTTTACAAAAGGCGAAGCACACCGACTGCTTGGAGCACATCATTAACATCATTCATCGGTGCAAGCAGAACTCGGAAGCAGATAAGAAGAACTTCACGGACATGCTTCGGTGGTATATTACGTTTCGCTATCATCTTTTGGCCATCATACCGAAGGTGTTCAAAATAATAAAGAAGTCTTCTGCAGCTCAACCAAAGTGAGCTTTCGGCTCCATTGACGCAAAGGGGGAGATTGTTGAGTTTAATTGTGTTGCGTCATGGGCTTATGTTTTGTATCCGGACTGGGCCTGTCCATCCGTGATTATCTAGTAGGGTTATACTATAAATATGCATGCATGTATGCATTAGATGCGGTTGATTATTACGTTTATTGTTTTGTAACCCTAAACACCTCTACAGTCGAAGTTCTTGATCGAGCTCTTCTGAGGTGTTGAAGTTTTAATCATACGACACATTCAAAGCCATTCTCGTGTTCATAATTACGTTCTTAATTTTTTGCCTGCATAGAATCTAACGATCCTAATTGAACTTTGTTCTAACAATCATTTTGGGAATAGTTATTCCTGACTTTTCGGAAGTCTTTGATAATTTAGATGTTTATCTGATGATATAACAGGTTAAGCAATATTCCAATAAATATAGTGCTATATGTTTAAACTTGTTCAAAGAATGGAAAAATCTAAGGCTGAAAAGAGTCACTTTTTTTATCTAAGAAGCCTGTGTTTTATGGACTGAACATATTTACACCCAAGAAATCCAAGAATCCCCACATAGATGAATCTTGTTTCTGTTATGGAGAAACTGGATACTGGAAGAGAAACTTCTTCTCTTATGTGAAAATAAAGTATATGAGAGACTAGTACTTCAGGTATCTACTAGACATAAATCGTACTTTTCATATAACACTTAAGTACTTGGTACTTAAATGTTAATCTAATATTTGTAACTTGTTTACAAATATTTACAAAAGAGTAACCAGTTGAGCACAAACAAGTTGGAACTACACTCTCGGATTTTAGTTTATTATTTATGCTTAGAACATAAATTACTTGTCATATAAAACAATGTTTGTTTTGGAACAATGTATGTTTTAAATTTAGCATGTCTAAGTATATATGTCTCAGTTATGTTATTTAAGTATTTGATTATTTACTTGATCATTTTGCATAACGAAAATGTTCATATTCTTAAATGAATGAATTATATTTATGAGACTGAATCTCTTGATAAAAATATGAAGTAAATATCAAAATTTTAATAAATAAAATTAAGTTCAATATGCAAGAATTTTTTACATAAATTTTCATTCAAAGTTATTTATCAACATTGTTATCCTTTTTATATAAATGAAATACACATATTCATACTTAAAGAAATGGATATTTGAAGGCAAATAATGTAGTTTATTTGACATATGTGAATCCTATTTATATATAAAAGATTCCTAATTATATATTTACTAATATATAGAGGAAATAATTATTATGGAACTATACACTATGATGTATGTCTTACTTTCTAATGAATGGCTAAGATTTAATGCAACATACCAAATCAAGTTTATTAACAACTATAAAGTTGAGATACAATCCAGTAACACCATCTAAAGCTTTAAGTGATATTAAAGGATAAATTAGACCTTACCGAATAAAGCTTACTTTCTAATCGTAAAAATTATCTTCCTTTATGCTCTTGGGATTATACCTCAATCAATATTAATTGTATCTTGAATACAAACACCAAAAACTTACATATCTATAGAATATTCTAAACGGGCATTTAGATTATATAAATCCACAAAGAATAAGTTCTCTTATTCTTTTGAATGTTGAGTCAACAGAAAGCAAGCTTCTAGTGACAAAGCAAGTGGGACGCACATGGGACTTGAAGAAGCTCAAGAAGCATAGCCTGATATAGCAATTGTTGGCACTAGTTTCAATAAGGAATTTTTGAACTTAAAAATAGTTATTCACAAATGCAAACTATTTGCATTAATGGTGGAAATCATATTTGACTTGAGAAATATGGAATTTCTCATTGATGAGTTCTTCTTGATGGTTTGTGACAAATCCATCAACTACCAAGATGCTATATAACATCTTGAATTTGATAAATGACTTAGAGTCATGAACAATAATGTGTAATTCATGTATAATAATCAAGTATGGGCTTTAGTAATCTTCCTCTCTATAGCAAGGCTAGAAGGAGTAAGATATTCTTATAGAAAGAATACATACATGGATATCATACACATTTAGAAAAGCTTGTAATAATATGATTTTATCATACTCATGTCATTGACTATGGTATTTATCATACTCATGACATTGACTATGAGGAAACCTTATCACAAGTAGCTATGATTAGATCAATAAGCATATTATTTACTATAACTTCGTATTCTTATTATGATATATAGCAAATAGATTTCAAAAAAGACCGTTTTTCTTAATAGCCATCTACTAGAAGACATCTATATAGTTTAGACTGGGGGTTTTCTTAGTCCATGTTATCCTTAAAAAATGTGTAATGCTTAAGATCCACTTGTGGATATAAAGAAAACTTCTCAAGGTTGGAATAGACATTTTAATATGAAGATACAAGGTATGCTTTATATCAAATTGAAAAGAACATGTGTATTTACTAAGAACTAGTGGGAGGATAGTGATATTCCTAATCTTGTATTAATGACACATACTTAATCATTTGAAATGACATTCCGATTATGCAAGGTCGTTTCACATTGACTCGAAAAGTATTTCTAAAATTAAAGACTTAGGAATGACAAGATACATTCGTGAAATCTAAAATCTATAGAGATATATAAAGATGAATGTTAAAAGTTTTAAATTTTGTTGCATGAATTAACAATATCTTGAAAAACATCAAGATACAAGATTCCTTTGCAAGATTCTTGGCATTGCCACATGACACCATTTTTGAGTTTGTCTCAAAAAATACATAGCACAAGGTTTGAGCAAGATGATATAATTCATGTTCTAATTTCTAGGTAAATGAATCGATTATTTATGTTATAATATGCACAAGACTGGGTATATGATTATGCTATGAATATATCATGAGAAACCAATTAGATACATGGTTAAGTCTCTCGATAACTATAAGAAAATTCTAAAAGTGCTTAAGAAGAAGGAGGATTCGAAATTATAGGACACATTCGTACAACGAAGTAGTGTGATGTTTAATACGGAATGAAAATTTAAGGTTGAAGGTTCGGTACAAAACATATTAGTAATTTGGAAAGTGTAATATGATGGTATACTTGAGAAGATCACTAGTTTATTTGAGGGCCTCGAGCTATCACTTGTAAATTTTTGTCATTGGTCATAATGCTCCCCTCGAAAACACCAGTCACTTCAAGAAGTCCAAACTTACCGTCACCTAGAACATTCTTGTTCACATCATCATCCGTTGTCTCACTAGAAAAATAGTTGGAACAGATCAAGTAAGCACCGTTTGGCTTCAAATACTATGGGGAATAATTATTAGACGACCGGTGGACTAGGCCACTTGCATTTGGACTGACTTTAAGGAATACATTGGCACACAGAAGACGGAGATCCGTCAAGCTCTCTTCTGGACAGTTTGTCTAGAATCGTTATACAATTCTTCCAAGAAAGTCGTCGGCGAATCACTAGAGATGGTTGAAACTCATCAAATGAAAAATTTCTCTATTATCGGATCAAACTAACTTTGGGGCCTCCAAACGTCTACCTATTTCTCTTTTGGATCTCATTCCTATAGATTTAGATGTTCTTTCCCAACATATCCAGGATATGGATGAACCAAAACCATATTATCCTACTACAACCTTGGCAAGAACTCTACACAAAACCTCCAAGGCCGAAGTAACACCGCCGAAGGTCAAGCCAGCACAGAATAAGAAAAAGATTGAAAATAAATGCAAATAATCTACCATTCCCTCTCCTAATCCCAAAAAGTGAATCCTATCGTACACCATAGACTCTCAATATTCTGGAGGTTATAATAGATCTCACGCTGGGTCAGAGGAACCTCAATACATCCATTCGTCTCCTCAAGAAGGAGATATCTCAAAAGGCAAAGGGGTTATGTTCACTTCCATAACCATTTGTTCTCAAAAGGGCACTAGAATAACTTCTTCCACTCATTCCAAAAAGGACATATGCTTAGGTAAAATTATCTGATCTTAGAAGAGAATATCTTATTCATTTCTGCACACACCACTACTGAAGCCACTGCTTTGGATCCAACTAATGTTTACAGAACTATGGATATATCAATTGGAAATCCTTTCAAGACTAACATAAGAACCATCCTCTAAGTGTGGCCCTAATGGATACTTCGATCTCTATTATTTCTTGAAGAGAGTTCTTCAGATTGGTTGGACTATGTGTGTATGTGTTATAATTTAATCATTCTGTAATTTCAGGAGTAACTTTCCCTGATTTTCAAAAGGTGTTAAATCTCCTGATCAATCTGGTGGTTCGATCAGAAATAAAGTGATTGAAGGAAAAATCAGAAGAGAAAGAGAAGAAAAAGAAAAAAAGTTAAAAAGAAGAAGAATACTAACTATGTACTATTGAACAAAGAAAGGCTCTCCATGATCTTATGGAGGAGAAAGAGAAAGAAAGAAAGAAACTACAGGCTGTTGAACAAAAACAATGAGTTAAGGAAGAGTCTGCCAGAATCAAAGCTGATAGAAAAGAGCTTCTGAAGAAACAACATGCAGAAGGTCGTTCATCACCTCAATATACCTCGACAACCCATAAAACGTCTTCCAAAACTCACTCTGGAAGCAATCTAAGCTCCAAAGAAAGTCCATTCAGAAATGATTCGAATGAGTATGTCTTCGAATCAGTTGGAGTCATGACCAACATCTTTGCCAAGCCTCGTCCTCTACCAATTACAACTACTGCAACTCAGAAACCTCCTACTAAACCAAAAGCTTCATCATACGATTCCACAAACCGACCTTCTAAGGGTTTTAAATCCTCTGCTCAGTTTGGCCGCTCCCCATATTTCAAGCTTCTTGAAGCCAAAATTGATCTCATCTTGGATCATTTGACAAAGCCAAATTTGACTATGACTCCTACTCCAAAATTAACTCCTTCAATCACTTTTGAAGATCTTGAAAAGGCTCTTCATAAAGTTATTTCAGAGTCAAATCTATAGGCGGACTCTCGCCTCTGAAAACTTGAGGAATTTGAATTTCGGTCACTACGCTTCTTAACAATCTTTCTACCGAGCTCTCTGATCAAAAAAGGTGGTCGAACAATCTCTTGAAACGTTCTTTGAAACATTAGAGAAACAACATGGAGAGGAGGTTGAATGACTTCGCTACGATCGGCTTCACTATCATAACAACACTCTTATCAAGATGATTTTATGTTCCAAGCTTTCCAATAACGTCCAACAGTTAGCCAAGTGGCTTTAGGAGGAATCTCAAAAACTCAATGAAGATGTTCAAAAGAGTAGAGTCTTTTTGGACACAGCTAAGATTATATTGGAGTTGACTCTCTATCAAAGAATGTCACACAATCTTTTCTTAAAGTCTTCTACAAACTTGAAGAGTTGAAGAAAGGATTCGTAAATGAGGTTGGGCCTTCTTTCACAAAAGAGGGAGAAGAAACTCACTCCTCCTCTTCGAAGAAGGACGATGACAATAAATTTCCGAAGGATGTGATAATTCAGGAACTATCTAATTATGATGGCAATGCATCAATGAAATCTCCGACATCTCCAAAGTTTCCTTCAAAGATTCCCAGTTCTCCCCCGAAGTCTCCAAGGTCTCCGCCCAAGATCCCAAGTCCTTCTCCGATGTCTCCACCCAAGAACCCAACGCCTCTGAAGACCCCTGTTACCTATCCGAAATCTTAGAAAGAAAAAGTCTGGTGAAAAAGAAGTCCCTCCTACTGGACTTTTCTCTTTGTTTGATGAAGATGATGAAGAAACCAAAGCACAACAGAAGCTGGAACAAATACATTGATATAGTATTGATGCGATGCCTCTCCAAGAACAGCTCAACAAACAATCTGTTGCGCCTCCTTCTCCTTCAGAAAATAATGATGTGGATCCTCTGTTCATACCATGAAAGTCCTTGATCCTATTGGATTAGGTGTCTAAGACATTTACTATATTATTATAAACTTAAATTATTAGAAAGACCTTTTTGGGTTGCCCTCAAACCTAGTAAGAGACTGGAATGGAGAGAGATACAGATTTATTAATTTATTATATGATTAATAAACTAATTTGAAATCAAAATAAAAAATTTATTAATATGTTTTGAGAAAATTATATTAATTCAAAAATATATTGTTTAATTATAAATTAATAAGAAATTAATTGGAATTAATTTTGGGATTAATTGTAATAATTAAAGTGGAAGGACTAAAGGTGACAATGTTCAAACGTTGACCATTGGACAAATTCTAGAACCTCCTCGGGTTCAACAAAATCTAGGAGGAGTTCTAGATAGTTTCTACAGCCTTTCTTGGGCTCTAAAGAAACTTGGGGGGGGGGGGGGAAGCAAAGGGATAAAGCTTATCCAACAAAAGTTGCCTTATCCAAGCCTCCTTGGACACCGATATAAACCCTTCCATAGCCTCTAATTTTCGGCACTTATTCTAAGAAACTCTAGGGCTGGAAATCATCTCCCCTCTCCTCTCTCTCCAATAGTCTCCAACTTCTAGTGTTTGGGTGTGAGCCATCAGAGGCACGCGATTTCTGGTGCTTGCTTTCTGAAGTTCTACAAAGAAGGAAATCAAGTTTATTTATAACAATAAACTAAAAGGTAAGTTTTTCTAATAACCCTTCTCAATTTCGAAAATAGAAATCTACTTTAGGGTTCTTGGATTCAAATTGTTGTTTGCAAATCATAGTGAGAACATAGATCCTTTAGGGTGTATGCGAACTTAGGGTTTTATTTTCTGCCTAAAATATGATTTTTTTTTTTGTATAAAACTCATCAGTGGTATCAGAGACATTGTTCTCTGTGATCTTGCAGAAAGTTGAATAAGATAAAAAAACCCTTTTGTGGTGATGTTCGATTTGGGAATGGGTTTTAGAAACCCTAACCTCATTCTTGTTTTTTTCGAAATTGATAAGGTTCTTTAGGGTTTCCTTGTTTTGATAATTATTAGTTTTAAGTGCCTTAAAATTGGATAATTATAAATTTCGTAAATCCCAAACCCTAATTTCGAAATTAGAGGGTATTGGATTAGGATTAAAATTTATTTGATTATTTGATTAATAGTAAATAAATTGTTTAATCCTTATTGGTTTAATTTAAATTGAATTAATTTTATTAATTTCGAAATTTATAAATTAAACCTAGTATTTTTTAAAATGTTTTAAAATACACCTTATATATAGTACTAAAACTTAATTACTATATGTATAGGACTAAGTCAGTCGGATCTCTAGTATGCCTCATTCTCGAAGCTGAATTATAAGGGGGGTATAAGGAAACTGCCTATAAAATGGTGGTTGAATGGGTGTCCACTCTCACCCACTGCTTCCTTGTTTGGTGGAGGGTCGTTAGCAAAACGGATCTAATAGGACATTAACTTTATTAAAAGAATAATGCTATTAAAGTAACTAAAACACTTTTATAAAATCCTCCTCTTATTTACTTTAGGAAAATGTGAAAAGTATGCTAATACATAAAATTACACATTATACTTTATAGTAGTTAGTGGAGTGCTTATGGTTAACCGACGGATTAATTGTGACTATAAAGAGTAACAATGGTCATCTTCAAAATTCTCATTAATTAATGGAGCATGTGTGGTTAACCGACACATTAAAATGAAATGATAAATGAGATCGAGAGTGTGAAGCATGTTTGTATGGTTATTCACATCTAGATTGTGATCCTCGGTATCCCAGTCACAAATAGTAGAGCATAATCTTAGAGTAAACATGTCATTGATAGACTCAATGAATATCAAATGATCTAGGAATTTTATAGTTCGAAATTGGTGAATTGGTTTTACCCACCTTCATAAATTCGTAATAAGATTACGACATCCCTCTTCTTATTAGTGAATTGTTATTTTGGATCCTAGCTTTAATCGTTTATTATGGGTTAAAATATTAAGTATAATTGTCATCTAACTATTACTATTTTTTTCTCTATAAATGTCTACTCTTGTTGATGTTTCTGCTCCTTCATCTTCTACCCACCACTCGGGTTTCTCTCTTATCCCCATCGTGTCCAAAGTAACATTTGATGGCTCCAACTATAGTGATCGGATGTGCAAAATAAGGATGGCTCTTCGATTGGAAGGCAAAGAATATGTCCTTGAAGAGAAACTCGTTTAAGTCGATGAAGCCACTTCTACTCCTAAACAACTAGCCTCCTACAGAAAACACTACGTTAATGAAACAAAAGTTTATTGCATCATGGTCGCTACAATGAATCCTGAATTGCAGAGGTTCTATGAGGACTACTGGCCATTTGAGATGACCAATGACCTTATGGAAAAGTACCACAAGAAAGCTAGTCAAGAGAAATTTGAAGTGGTCAAGTCCCTTATGGCTTGCAAGATGAAAAAGTGAGAGTCTATCTGCAACCACGTACAGAGATTGCAAAGATATGTGGAGTGCCTGGTTAAGCTCAATGTGCATTTTGAAGAGGAGTTGGCGATTGACATGGTCTTAAAATCCTTGCCAAGTTTTTATGACCAGTTTATATTAGCTTATCATTTGAAGAACACATAAACCAGATTGGCCCAACTCCACAACTCGCTATAGGCTGCTGAGTCAGGAATGAAGGCAAAGAATTCGTCTCCACCTATTAATACTCTCGGTCTCACCGTTGAAAAGGGCAAAGGGAAGAACAGGAAAGCTGCTCCCAAAGCTAAATGAAAGAACAAGGCCCATGCAGGGTCATCAAGCAATGGGCCAAAGGTGAAGCCCAACTCAGACATTCCAGCTATTAGTGACCCCAAAGAGGCCACTTGTTACTATTCCAATGACAAGGGCCATTGGAAAAGGAGCTTCCCCAAATACTTGCAAGACATCAAGGATGGCAAGGTGAAGCCATCATCGGCAGGTATATACACTATTCAAACTAATAATTCACCATCTACTCATTCTTGGGTCCTTGATACATGATGTAGATTTCACATTTGTTCTGATTTGCAGGGGCTAAAAGAAAGTGATGAGGTGGAGCATGGGAGGATGAATCTGATCATGGGACATAGATGATCTTCTCCTATTACAAAGATTAGGAATTATCAGCACATGCTTAGTAGTGATGTTAGGATTAGTTTAATTGATTGTTGCTACTCGTTAGAATTTACACGAAACATTATTTCTTCTCATACATTGTCTAGACAAGGTTTTCGATACTTTTTTGATAATTGGAATGATTCAATTCTAGTTTATAAAAATGGTGTTTTATATTTGAAGCTTTACCTTGTAATGGCGTGTATGAAACTGTGACTCGTGTTGATAGCATATGAAATAGTGTATTTCAAATTGATTCGTCTAATGGATTAGACAAGGCATGCTTGAGGCATTTTCGTCTTGGGCATACTAAAAAGAAACGCATCGCCCAACTCCAAAAGGATGGAGTCTTGGAATTATTTGACCTAAGGCCAAATGATGAATACAAATCTTGTCTTTTGGGCAAGATGACAAAATTCCCTTTCACTGGCTCTTGTGAAAGCGGTGAGAGTTTGTTGGACCTCATACACATAGATGTGCGTGGGCCCTTCAAATCCACCACAAGAGATGCTAATCGATTTTATGTAACATTTACAAATGATTATAGTAGATATGGTTATATCTATTTGATCAAACATAAATTAGAAACCTTTGAAAAGTTCAAAGAGTTTAAGAATTAAGTCGAGAATCAATTAGGAAGGAAGATAAAGATGCTCCGATCGGATATAGGAGGAGAGTATCTAAGTATCAATTTCCATGACTACCTCAAGGAATGTGGAATAGTTTCACAATTGACTCCTCCTAGGACACTACAACTTAATGGTGTAGTTAATAGTCGCAATCGAACCTTGTTGGTCATGGTGTGTTCCATGATGACTCGAGCCACTCTTCCCATTTCCTTCTGGGGGTAGTACTTAGAGACAGTCACCCATATCCTCAATCTTGTCCTTACTAAAAAGGTTTCCAAAACACCTCACGAGATGTGGACAAGGAAAGTTCCCTCGTTAGCAAATATCAAAGTATGAGGTTGTAAAGATTCCGTTAGATGAGAGACTCATAACAAGCTAGAAGCCAGAAGTGAGAGATGTATTTTCATTGGCTACCCACAAAAGTCTTTTAAATATTTGTTCTACAGGCCTAGTGAGAACGTGGTCTTTATAGCACGAAGAACACTCTTTTGCGAGAGATAGTTCATATGCAAAGAGGATAGTGGGAGCACAATTGACCTTGCAGAGATTCAAGAGTTAAGCAATGAAGGATGCTTAGAAGACACTAGCACTCAACCAAAGAAAGAAATTCCAGTTGAGTCAGTTGCAAATTTATTACCTCTTCATCGTTCCAAAAAAGTTAGCATGCCACCTGAGTTTTATGGTTTCCATATAACCTCAGATGGTGATACGTTTTTCAGTGATCAAACACTGATAAATTTGGATGAGCCAGCTAACTACTAGCAAGCAATGGCGGGCCCTGAGGCTGCTAAATGGAAAGAGCGAATGAACAGCGAGATCAAGTCTATGTATGACTACCAAGTTTGGAATTTGGTTGAGCAACAACCTAGTCGAAAGACGGTTGATTGCAAATAGATCTTAAAAAAAGACCAACATGGATGGAAATGTGCACACTTTGAAGGCATGACTGGTTGCGAAGGGACTATGATGAGACCTTCTCACCAGTGGTTAAGATAAAATCTATTAGGATAATGC